AWTTGTATTAATAACTCGTGGAATTACTTTTATTGCATCTAACATACCTGTTATTTTTATATCASATTTTGGTGATATTATAATATGATATAATATTACATACGGTCTTCAACAGTTAATTTATTATACGCGTAAAATTGAATAAGTAGTGTAGTTCGGCTTATGTCATAACAAGAGGTGTTTGTAATTAAACATAAGGTTTTTACTGTTATATTTGGATTTTTGTTTATACCTAGTACATTTTTTGGCAGAGACATACTTCCATATACCATATGGACTTGATGAAAAGTAGTTTGTAAATATTTAGCATGGTCGTACKGTGAGTTTAAATAACTTGGATAATATATCATGGAGCAAGTGTTTTTCTGTTGTTTCATAAGTACGATTCTTTTTTCGTGTAAATGTGGAGAGTGGAGTCCAGATTAAACKCATAGAAAATGTTATTTTTAGGTAATTAGTTCATCTTTATGGATTTGGTATTATTTTGTAAAATGTTGAAGGTTGCATTTGGACGATTTCCATTTTTTAATAAACAGATTACTTACGTGTATTGACTTAATTTAATTGTTTTTGAAGCATAGAATTTATTTTAATTTTGCAAACCTATATAATAAATATGCGTAATCATGCAGTGAGTATAAGTGTAATTTAAATAAATTCTAAATAATTAGAGGCATCCCGGTACAAGGGGTSTTTTTGAAACAACCTTTGAAAAATATACAATTTGATTGATATGTGTTTATTACCGTTCGTCTGACGGTAAGTGATGAGGCTTGCAAATACCTATATATAAGTATTTACTCCATGCTGTACAAAAAAAAAACAACCATGTGGGAATTTCGTCACACTGTACAACTTTTTTCGGACTCTCGAACGGTTACGATAAAAGCGTTTGATCGAAAATCGTTRTGTACATATCGAACTGCATCCGATGATCGATGAGTAAGCCACGTTTTCTTTTAGACATACCACAGATAAGTACTAAACTATAATAATAATTAATATAGATATCTGTTAGATGTGTCAACCAAAAATATCGTAGTTACTAGTTACTCATCATGGTGGTTATCGAAAACGGTTGAATCGATCGTGGTATCAAGTTTACCACTTCAAYCGTGGTTTAAACTTGGCTATACCGCGGTCTATGTCTTGTATAATCGAACACTCGTGAGGAACAAAGGTATATTTTTGTCATATTTGGTCAATCTGGTCACCAGTCAGTCACTACTCAGTTGTACTCGTAATAATAAAATATGTTTTACCTACCTATACGTGATCGTGATTAACCACTCTACGCCATCGCAGCTATCGAGCAGTTTATACGTCCGATTTTGTATATTACAAGTTACAACTATTTATTGGCACCTTGATGAAGTAAGTACGTTTTTGATRTTATAATATTATTTTTATCGTAATAAAAATTACTTAATATTACCAATATTCAATAAATGCGCATAAATACTTTGTTTTATTGTACACTAGCACCAACGTGCGCAAAGTTATACGTCAATTTTATTTATGATTTATTGTAAATTATAATTCATTGTTAATTATCTACACCCGAATTTGCAGATGTATTTATAACAAGGGGCTCGCCATTAAAATTCTAGCTTCACTCTGAATTCGATACAATAATCAAATCAGTTGTTTATAGGTAGGAACGTAGGGCAGTCGCTTCAGTTCGTTAAAAAATGCTAGGATGGTGGTCACAACAAAACAATATTTATATATAGGATTAAGATATGCCCGTAACCCATGCATTAAAATATTTTTGTATGTTTAAAATTGAATTACTTTTTTAAATGTAAAACCTAACCTTAAACGATATATTATTATATTATATTGTGTTATATTTTTATTTTATATCTTACACATTACACATTCTAGTTTAGAACATTCTTCTGTTTTTTTCTAGTTTCAATTTCATGTTCAAAATTTGTGTACCGTTGTCATAGCAACAATGTATTATAAACACAATATAAAAATATTATAAATGTAGCAAGAATTAATTTATTTTTATACAGATGTATTTATTACGATAATAGTAATAATTATTAAAAATTAAAATAATAATAAATTAATAGGTAATAAGAATAACTAATAAGTAATAAAAGTATAGAATAAAATTGTTTATTGAGTTCTTTTACGCTATCTACAAGCGCAATATTCAACTAAATGATCACTTTCCATGATCTACCKRCTTTTTATTATGATAAAAAATAACACAATAATCCACTAGATGGCGTTGTAGATTTATCACTAAAAACACACACATAGAATAATATTATATAGTATATATATTATATCCTACCTAATAACATAATTACATTTTGTCATTTTGGTGCATCATTACTTACATTTTTATACAAAAGTATAGATTATAGAGCTTAACACAGATATCACATTTTATTTATATAAATCCAACTATAGTGAGTATATTTTTAGTACATACCCGGTGTAGGTATTAAATAATATGTACTCTTTTGAAAATTTATTACCTATTTTATTACTTACCAGATTAAATGAAAATTTAAGTTGTTAATATTTAATCTATCTATTGGAATTTTAACCATATGAAATATAAGATAACTAAGAATTGTAAAATATAACTATTTTGATTGGCAATAAAACGTGACCACTATACTAAGATAGAGCGTCGTACATGATATATTTTTGTAAAAAGGCACATACATTGAGTTACCGTATATTTTTATATTGAATACAATACCAATGTTTTTCAATTATTTGTTTGCATTGATTTATTGATATTATTAATATAATATACCTTTTAATACTTATTAGCACGTTACTTGCATAATTTTTTCAGATGTATCTATGAATTATTATATGGTTATTAATTTATTATATATTATTAATATTTTATATTAGTTATGACTCATAACTGAATGAGTGGATTTACTAAGTATACTGTAAATAGTCTGTAAGTGTTATCAGTAATGATGTTTGTAAATTTATAGTAAGCAGATGGTTGTATTTAATATAAATTATAGATTATGAGCATATTAAATAGGCAGTTTACTTTAATATATATTAATAAAGTTTAAGTTAAATAATTAATTTATTGTTAGGTACTTAAAAATTAAAATACAATTATTTTACAGTCATCTTTGGTTAATACA